TCAGAAGCAAAGAAGGCATAATTGTTGATGGTCTCTATGACAGACCGAAAGCTGATAGACGTTGTCAAACTGTATCCATGTTTGACAATCGGCTGCCCATCTCGCCCATCCCAGCAATCCACCTCCACAGATCGACAACCTTGTGAAAGTGTTGAGATGTAGCCTTTAAGCTTGGAGCGGGCGGCGACTTGACGGCCGCACAGGTACGTGTTATGAGAAGATGAGATGAAGTATTGGTTGATAGGATAGTCGAGGTTATGGTGTCGAGGGGCACTGCAGATAGCTAAATTTTCTTTCGAGAATAGGTGACAAACTAGGTTTCCAGAAATGTCGGAAACGGGTGCAATTTCCTGCTTGGAGCTGCTTGGATTGATAAGCCTACTGTAAGAGTCGCTGAAAACATTCGGATTCTTCTCAATTTCGGCTCTATTATCTCTCCCTTTTAAGTCTTCCGAAAACTCTGTTAGTGCTTTCTGAGATGTCGGACCAATCAGTAGATTGTTTGTTTCGCGCTTTGGGATCATCTCCAACAGGAGCTGATTGAAGTCGGGTGACGCTCGAGTATGACTGTTTGAATCCCGAGTCTTGGCTGACTTCGACTTCTGAAGCCCTTCAATATCTGTTTGAGCGCGCTGGAGAGGCCTTGGGACTTCTCGGACAGGTGCCCCTCTGTCGGCGTCCGACATTGTTACGGCCCTGCCGTACATGTTAAGGTGCGCCATGTCGAGAACTGCGGGCAGAAGAAAGATGCATGTGAGGACGACAACATGTCCACAAAGAATGATATAGGCGACAAGCATCCTGCCTGAATGACTGGCGACTCCGGGAACAAAGCCAATGTGAAGTGCGAACAAGGCCAGCCTCGAGACAGACAAAATGCCGGCAAGTGAAATGAAGCATGCAAATCTTGTCCAAAACGTCATTGCTAGCAGTTGAAGAAGCTCGCATCCCAACAGAACACCAAGCTGAACAGAGGTGTATGTCTGCAACCCGCCAATGACACTTCCACGTAGAAACATCAGAGAGAACAGCACCAAAGCGTAGTATTGTCGCCCAGATTCTGGGTCTTTGTTCAGCCGGCCTGGGCTTTGGATGACCAGCGATCCCATTTCGGAATCCCTTGTCCAACTCCACCAGAAGCCTGCTAATAACACAATCAAGATTAGGATTGCCATGGCGGAGTTTCGGTATCCAAAGATCTGGTCATCGAGAAATTGGTAGGTTGCCCATGCACTGATCGGTAGCATGAAACAGCTGAGGAAAAGCCGGACAACAGCCCAGTAGCGGTCTCTAAGCTGCGATCCAATAGTTGCCAAGGTAAGATTTGAGGGTGAGTCGCGGCTGTTCAACCTGAAGCTGATGTATGATGATAAGTAGAGAAAGAAAAAGATAATGAGTGATAGGACAAAGGTATTCATCCAACTTTGAGGTTTCACTGGTGAGCCAGTCATCTGGGTAAGCAGTTCCAAGCCTGGAGCTCCCGTGATTGTTCCATTGTGTTCATAAATGCCGTCGTTCACACCGGCTCGTGCATAAGGTGAGGAGGCTTCTACAGGACCTGCCGGAAGCATCAAGGTAGACCAGCTACAGAGGCCGACAAGAGGTTGGAAGAAGCCAGGGTATCGAAGACTGAGAGCACCTGAGAAAAACATAAACTGGATATAAGCTAAGAGATCGATGGCGCGTGTGATACGGCCGTTCTTTGAGGCTAAGGAGCTGGTGGTTTGTTGGGCCGGCCAACATGCGACTATACAGGTCAAGGCGAAAGTGGTGATTGGGAGCCAGAGACCGAGAAGGCGGATGGGCTCCGGGGCAGCGGGAGTGAGGGTTGCTCGAATACAGGAGAGTGATTCGTTATCTTTTGAAGTAATCTCCAAGGTTGTTCGGAAAGTGTCGAGAAAAGTCGATCGTTTAAAGGAGGATGCGATGGTGAAGTGAGTTCTCGGGCCGAGCCATTCGGAAGTGTAGCAGGACATGTTGACGATCTCTCCGGAGACTTCCTTTGAGTCCCTCCCATAGTCAATGACCGTAAATCTCGGGACCACATCACCGACATCAATCTCGCAGGCATTCCGATCCGCCTGCCCAGCGATAACATCAAACCGCCACTCAAACCCATCCCTCCCCTGTTCAACCGCCGCGCGAAAACTCTCCGGAATGAGCGACTTATTGGTGAGTGTATCAGCGCAGTCTTGAAACTGCACATATGCAGCCTGACAGCTTGCTGCCAAGAGCGTGAAAGGAGTGACTCTTGACAGCTTCATTGCTATCTCGATTCGGTCATGGCGGGATGTGAGAGATCAAATTGGGACGAAGGTGGATCTTTTCCTGCATGCTGGCTTTTTTTCCTCTTTTCTTTTCTGGAGGGAGAACACTAATGACTAATCTCGTGGGGACTATTAATAGGTGAAACGGCCAAGAAGTGCCTAGTGGTGTTTATTTTAGGGCGGACATACGAGATGGTCCACTTCGGAACATGCTATTGTTGTCTTGACCGATGTTTGAATGGTAATGTAGTCTCAGAAATGTCTAAATTCGTGTCTTAGATTCCGAAAACAGAGTTTCCCTCGGCATTGAGCTCTTTTGTTGGTCTTCTATCGGGTCTATTTCGATTGCTAAGGGACCTCATACCAAAGCCGAGGCTGTCAAGGGTATCCTTGCAAGCGAACCAAGCTATGCCAAATATCACTTTAGTGCTTCTGTCATTGGGCTTGACATGATGTCATTCATTACCCTAGAGAGAGTCGGAAATTAAATTCTGTTCCCTTGTTTGTGAGGGGAGTTGTATGGTCGGGTTTGGGTGTTAATGTTCCTTTGACATTCTGTTAAGAAGATTTTATATCGGTCAATCTCCCTCGATCTGGATAATCTTTATGTAAATGTTATTGGTTACCTTTCTGCTGAAGAATAATAGCAGGGCCAGCTAATACAGGATCCTTTTTCGGTGCCATAACAGTATCCGCCACAACAGCGAGTATACTTCTGTTTTTTAGTGGCTGTAACAATATGATTCAGAACGATGGGAATCGCTGCATGGATTGCAGTGACTTGAAGGATCTCGAGTTAGATTAAGTACCTGGCAAAATGTTTCAAAAGCCAGATCAGATCACAGATTCGTTGATGGGCCTGAACTCGATTGATAACGAATGACTCCAGCATTGGCTCTTTGCATGGAACTAGGCAATTGTAGCATATATGATACCCTTAGGGCCTTAACTTATGTTAGCGCAAAGGCCATCGGCCATGAAGCCAATCTGTTCTGCGTTACCCAGTCTGATATGCTGCTTTAGTCGGACGCGATCCTGGTTTAAGTCTCATCGCAACAGCGTATCTCTTTTAGTCGACATTTTATGCTTGATCAGCACTAATTGTGGCATGTTTGAGCCTATAGGAGAACGGATAGTGCTTAGAAAGCAGGCTTTTTGATAAGCACTTGCTTACGCATAGTTTGTGATGGTTGGTGATTTGATGATGGCATCGGATCTGGTGCGGGGCTGTTGACTACGCCGCTGATGTCGTCAACCATGAAGATATAAAGAAACACGAGAGGCCCAGAGATAGTTTGCCGAACTCTTTCTCATTGACCCTGAAGCATCCTGTGCGCTTTTCAATCGCGAAAAATACTCGAAATGGACACTTATCTTGACCCAATCAACCGCAAGTTCGCGGATGCGGCCGCTGAAGGCCCACCACTGTACACTAAGACTTATCAGGAAGCGCGCGACATTTTGGAAGGCATCCAAAGCTACAAGACCGCATCGGACATCAAGACTGAGGAGGTCAAAGTTTCAGTCAATGGTGAAGATGTCACCACTGTAATCTTCCGCCCTGCTGATGCGCAGGGCACCCTGAACATGATCTTTTACACCCACGGTGGCGGATGGATTCTCGGAAGGTCAGTCAGCCACCAACGACTCGTGACAACGTGCTGACAGGTGCAGTCCCACGGTGCATGGAGCTTTGATGGAGGACTTTGCACGCCAAACTGGTGCTGCGGTTGTCTTTCCCTACTACACCCCAGCACCCGAAGCTCAGTACCCCGTTCAGTTTGAGCAGGTCTACGGAGTGCTTGATCATTTCGTGAACAATGGCGATAAGTATAAACTCAAAGCTGACCGCTTCGGACTCGCTGGTGATAGTGTAGGAGGTGATTACACCCATATCTATTCTTTCAGGGCTATCTAACCCGTTTCCAGGACATATGGCCATCGCAATGACTCAACTCGCTCAAAGCCGTAATCTACCCTCTAAGATCGGCCAGCTCGTCTTGCTGTATCCCGTCACAGACACTCACAGCAAGTCTGAGACCTACAAAACATACAAAGACGGACCCTATCTCTCCGAAAAGACCATGGACTGGATGATCCCGGCATTTCTTCCAAATGAAGAAGAAAGAAAGCTGCCATTGACCTCGCCCCTTCAGTTCGCCCCTGACGAAGTTCTCGCCAAGTTTCCACCAACAACTATCTTCGTTTCCGGCGCGGACCCGCTAATTGGAGAGGGCGAGGCGTTTGGCCATCGTCTGCAGCAGCTTGGAGTTGATACCGCAGTTGTTAAGGCGGATGGCCAGGTTCATGATTTTGCGATGTTGGCACCAATTCGTGTTTCCCCTACCGCTCGAGCTGTGGTTGAACTTGCGTCTTCAAAGTTGCTTAAAGCATTCTCAGAGAACTGATAGTATTAAATATCTTCCTAAAGTAGTTTCAAATCGATACATCACCATTAGACAAGAACTGTTCTACCAGATGAATCTCGACATAATGAACTCAATTGTTTGAGGAAGTGATATGAGGATATGTCATCACCATTTTAACCTCGTGGAAACTTCTCAAGCATTCAATCGCTAATTACGCCCGATTCATACCCAACCAGGGTGACACAGAGCGTGTCGGAACTCTAGTTAATCCGTACTTTACGCAGTACCGCTTCTTCTCCACATCTCTGCTTCGTACCGAGTAAACACTACGGCGATCTATAAATCATTTCCCCTGTGTTGAACGATGGGATTATCACCCACGGCAGTTTTTATCAGGAGCCGAGTTGACGTTCTCATGCGGACCGATCACTCGGTTCTCTACATCGACAGAGCAGAACCAGATATTGTTTTAAAAGCCGAAACAATATGGATAGACAGTAAACCCTATGGTTCGCCTTCAAAGATTGAGGAGACCAGTGATAACCTCACTCGTGAGCACGACATTTACAAAGCCATATCTCCACATCGCTACATAACTAAATGCTTTGGCATTACTCATGACTCTGATGGCCATGCTATCGCACTCAAGCTGGAACGAGCAACGAAGGGCAATCTCCGCCACATAATCGAAGAAACCCCGGAACCGCCTCCAATCCATCGTCGACTTGAAATGGCTACCACTCTTGCCGAGAGTATCCTGCATCTCCATTCACGAGGCGTCATCTGGGGAGACATCTCGACTCGAAATGTCCTCGTTTTCAGTGATGATACCATAAAAATATGCGACTTCGCCAGTTCTGCTCTCAGTCAGACTTATCCCGAGTTCGGTCCCCATACATACGAGCCTGCTTACTGCCCAGCTCTACCAGAAGAACAAGTCAGTGAGCTTTCCATGATGGAACGAGAGCTGTATGCTCTTGGATCTGCGATCTACGAGATTACGGAATGGAAATTCCCATATGCAGGCATTGATGGCGATATTTGGGACATTGTCGAAGCAGGTACTATACCTGTCATTGGGATTGAGAATACCGCTGGAGGAATAATCGATCGATGCTGGAAGTTTGGATATGATTCTGCGAGTGCTGTACTGGGTGATCTAACAGCCCTTGTGAAGCAGGTGCCAAACAAATGATTGGAATCACATGGCAATAGGGCTGGAAATGAAGAGTTTGGTATTCATTATCTCTAACATTGCTGTGGACATTCGCATGAGGATTTCAGATTTGGTTGGTTTTGAACACGCTTGGCAGAGAAAGACATTGTAAACTTTTCTGACAGGTTAAGTTTGGCGACCGTTCCACCCAGCGGGTTTTTGAATGTTATCTTTCGTTAATTTGTATTTACTTTGGTGGGGTTGCAACGCAAACTCTGGGTTCAACGCAAGCATCCTGATACTGGCGAATTGCTTCCGCAATATACTAAGACAGAGGATCCAAAATTTTCTGCAAACAGTAGGCCATCATGTTAAATATGTGTGAGAGTCAATTTGAGTTATCCCATTTTATTCTTATCTTGGTGTTTGAACCACAGTTACATTCTATACTAGGCTATGAGACACGCAATCCTAGTATAGTCCATTTCCTCATTCAAAGCCACTCTGTCACTCCCTTGTCCTCCCAGTATTTCCCACCTCACTTGCGGTTCGAGCAATAACGGCTCTTACTGCAGCTGGTGCATTCCTGCATCCGGCCACTGCCATTGTGCCAATGAGTGACAAACTTGTCCCCGCTTGTCTCGAACACAAAGTTGTCAGTGGGATCGAAATAGGCGTTCATTTTGATGTCCTCCAAGGCATCATACGCCTCATTTCGTGTAGAGTCATAGTACTTGTCCTTCATGTAAATCTCAACGTTCATAGTCGAGCCGCTGATAGATGCAGACTTGAAGCGATCGCCGAACTTATCCTCGACAGGCTTGAACGATGGTCGGCCGTATGTCACGCCAGACTTCTGTTCGAAGCGGCACAAAAGATAGTGAGAGTAAGACATTTTGATAGAAGAAACTTGTTAGGTAAGTTTGGGTATATTTAGTTGAGCAATTGTTATTGAGTTGAAGTTTGAGTTGTTTTGTGTTTAAAAATTGGAAAGGAGAAAGTCTTGAGTATTGTGGCTTTTATAGTCAAACGGGTTGGATGATTCAGTGACTACACCCAAATGACAGGCAGTTGCTTTGACGTCGCACTGGGCGACTGAATCTTCTGGATGGACACTGCATAGCCTGCAAATAGTGAATCAGCGATAAAGAATGGCTGTGGTTGACTGTCTAGGATGCATCATGAGTATTGCGGGTATGTTCAAGCTCCGGTGAATATCTCGGGGTCTGCAGACGCTAATCACGGCTCAACATCTGTGTTATGATATCTAGTCCCATCCTTCATTGCCACTATTCATCCTCCGCTTCTTAAACATAGGCTCACCATCCATTCTCACATTACCACCGCCAAGGTCATTGTTGACCGCCACTGCACTGAGCAAAAGCTTAGTGTATGCTGCGGCCACAGCAGCAGCGTAGTTCTGCCAGATCTTGTTCTTTTGGGCATCACTGTAGTCACATATCCCTCGTATCACAAGGCAACCTGCCCTGTTCATTACCCCAGCAGCTTCCATCTCGAAGCATAGCACCCCATGCTTGCGGGACAGCTGATCTCGCAGGGTTGCGTCTTTGACCACGCGATTTCCTGATGCTACAAGGCCATAGTGAATCATAGGCTCTGCCGTTAATCGTGGGAGGCGTTGCTCAAGGTGGGTACAGTCAGGCTTGCATGTCCTGCGAGTACAAGCGGCGCGGGAGAGCACGTCGAGTTCTTGACCTGGGTTACCATATGCTGGGAGCGACTCGACTATGCTAGTAAGATGTGGGTTCAGTGCATCGACTCCAATGTCTGGGTCCGACCGTATCTTGCTGATAGCATTGGTCAAGATCCGAGGCGGTCGTTGCAAAACGCCTGTCACCTCAAACTCACTCCCCTCATTCTCCTTACCGAGATCATACTGAATGACACCTGGGTAAGTCTGGGTAGGCAAGCTTACTACCACGTCGCCGAGTCGGATATCATTATCCTCAGAGGGCGCGCCGCCAGCAATGCCAACAAGTAGACAGAACTGTATAGACGTGAAGCTGCGCATCATATCAGACACTGCTGATGCGGCTGCGTTTGTTCCGTATTCTCCAGCTGGAAGTGATGTTGCTACTACCATATGTCGAGCCATTTCCCCAAGTGCATACTGATTGTTGTCGCCGATTACGCTCGGGAGATGCTGGTGTCTCTGGTCAAACAGAGCCCGTACTGCCTTCAGCTCGACCGCTAACGCGCAAAGGATTCCAACAGTGTATTCGTTTCGGGAATAGATATTTCTTACGCTCGGCGGCGCTGTGTTTGACTTCCTCAGTGACAATGGTGCACGTGATATACTCGAGCTCGGTATTGGCGAGGCATGACTCTCAGATGAGGATGCCCCTAAGCTTTCACCAATTCCGCTGTCCTTATCTGCCTTGTCTAACACATATCTCACGCCAATCTCTTGTTTTGATTGTTGTTGCGTAGGAGGACCGGTATCGCCCCACGTCCAAGAGAAGCCTGGATTATGCCCAAAAACAGCTGCACCGCTGAGTTTGATGGGGCTTTTGTTCGGAAACAATTTGTGAGATAGTGCCGACGGAAATGCCACATGGACTGGTTCTCCATGATGTCGCGCATCATCGCCACACTGACATTTCCCTGAGATGTCAACCGCATTATGCCATATAAGATTATCACTCAGCCGAGTATGATCGGATTCAGAACTGCGATGGTCTCTAACGACATCCTCCATATCCGAAATGGAGCATGCAAGCAGGTATCGGTGTCTCGGTAGTTGAGACCAGTAGTCACAAAGGGCTGGTCCAGCTGGTCGTATAAGTTCCCCAAAGCCACTTCCTGCCAGGGTTACAGCCTGCAGATCCCTCGTCAAGTCAACCCATCCCTTGCCAGCAGGCTCAAGAGTAACTAATCGCGGATGCAACGGATCACGATTCGCGCTGAGATCTTCAAAGTCCCAACCTTCAAGATTCTTTCGAGGCATTCCCTCTAGGCTCCCGGTATGTCGACTGGTAATATATGCCTGGTGATCAAGCATCTTCTCAAGCAGGTTGTAGTATTGATCGACTCTGTCTCTCAAAGTAATAAAGCCATTCTTTTCTGGGTAAAGCTTGAGAGCCAAGTTTTTGGAATTGATAAGTACATCAATTGCGGAATCAGAAGTGAAGGGCTTCGTTGACTCTTGTAGGTCGCCTGCTTTGAAAAGAAAGGCCGATTGGAATTTATCAGTGCTGTCATATGCTAGAGAGGCTCTAACAACATGTAACAGAACGCTGGTGCCGTTGGTAAGCCAGCCGCGTTTGTCGGCCTCGTCCCAGAGGAGAAAGAATTTTGAAGAAATCCATTTGAGTCGAGGGATATAGCCATTGCGAGCGACATGTATTGGTGTGTCCTTGATACCGAGTTCGAAGCTGTGACCTCCTGTGATCATACGTCCCAAAGTGATCACGGTGCCAGCAAGAGCACATCCGGAGTGTAGCTTAGGTAGCTCTGAATGTCTAACATGGTACTGAGCTTGAGACGATCCTTGGGTCATCAGTAACTGTTTTCATAAGTATGCTAAGAAAAAGGCTCACCGGAATAGAACCTGGCCTCAGAACACCATCCAAGAACGTGGCGGTGAGCTGTCAGATCTGGGGTCCCAGCAAGGACGTCGCGGTTCAGATTATCATCGAGATAGGATATGCGACTTCCATCTTCGTTATAGATCAAGTGCCAATAAACCACCTCTTTGGACTGTTTTGTGGGCACTAGCATTGTCGAGAAGCCCTTTATGTATACCTTGCCGTTGAATTGATCAACGCGGTCAGCTCGAGCTAGTCCGGCCATGATGTTAAGAGGTATTTCCAGACCAGTATTCCTCTCCACTTTCGGCAGAATAGGAAACCCCTTCACTAGTGTCGGGTTCTTAAATATTCCATGCCAGCAATGGCCGTTAGAATTATCTGGTGGTTCCAGGAGCTGCTCCAGCTCGAAACCGATTACGCAGACGACAGCTTGTGGCATTTCCGGATCCTGATGCATGGACCTGATAGAGGGAGTGCAGTAGCTCAGCCCGTTTGGATATGGCGAGCTTCTCAGAGCAGCTCCTAGCCAGGCAAGCTGCTCTCCAGTCTCTGAGATAGAAGCCGCGGACCCATTTGCCTGCACCATGACCTTTGACCCGTTTATCCAGGCGGTTAGTCTTGTATGATCTGGCAAGTGGTCTTGGAACGTGTTAGATAGGGCTATCTTAGAAAGGAATGCTAGGGTGAGACAGTATCTTACACTCATGTGTATGTCCCCCTTCCAGTCGCAGTAAGCCGCGTATAAGCCGTAGGATCATGTCCCCTGTAGTAGGCCAGGTCTGCTTTAGGAATTGAGTACAGTTTGAGGCTTGTGCGTCAGAAGGAGATCCAGTCAGAGTAATCACTGCTAAAAGTACTTCGTCCGGTGACTTGGAGAACTCCTGCGAGTCAAAGAACTCAATAATATCCCAGTCCAGGTCGAATAACACGCTGCAACTTTCAGAAGATACGCTTCTGCTGATCATATGAGGGGATGGGACTGAAGATAATACTTGATCCCGGATTAGTTGAATGGCCGTTGGTTCTTCCAGAACAGAATCCATATTCCTTTGGAGTTGGGTCATTAACCAGGAGTAAGCTTCGGTACCAGGTGCAAAGTCTCGGTACGCTGCAACCCAGATGTCAGCCTCTTCGTACTCATCCTCCTCCTCCGCCTCCACTAACTCAAGGTTGTCCAGGCCCTCTACAATTGAAGGTTGCTCCCAATCTTCACTTTGTTCCCAGAGAGCCATACGCTCATTCAAACTCATAGAGCGATGGTCATCTTGGATTTCTGTCCGCTCAATCTCCATCTGGCCAGGGTAGACGTCCATTGGCTCAACCTCAACAGGGGTAGGGCAAGCGATCTCCCTAGGCTCCATTTCTCTCTGGCTAAGATATATGTCTAGAAATGCTTCGGTAATCTCACTGTAAAGAAGTGTTAACCGGGTCATTCGGACTTCAGTTGAAGGTTTTAAGTCCTAGCCATCTATAGAAGCTTGTCTAATACGTGAGAATAGAAAGAAGGGTTTCTGTAGCAATTCACTCACCTTCTGTGCCTATGAACAAAAGCCATCACATCCCGATGCATCTGAGTAGTTGCACAGTACCCAATCTTCAAAGCGAAGGCCTTGAGCAGGCGTGGTAGTGTAGCGGATATATCAACTCGATGATCTTGACCCAAATCAACAGCCTGAAAGCTGATTTTATTGTACAGGTCTTTAGCCAGCTCCTGTATGTACAGCTGCTCTTTGTAGAACGTGGTTCTTGAGACATCGGAGTATATAGTGGCAGAGTCGTCAATGGTAGGGTCATCTAGGCCTTGTAACGACTCATCAACAGCTTGGCCATCATTCGTGTTCTTGTTGTTATCAATCAATGATGCAGATGCATATGCCGAGTCCGTAAAACCTGAAGGCGCAATTGGCGCAGGGGCTGTTGGTGATTTGCTTTGCATAGCCTCAGTATCGCTATCATTGAAGTCTTCTCGAAAGTCGGCCAGGAGTCGAACTATATCGGAATCCGTTTTATGTGCACATAGCAATTGCATACTTCTCTTAGCCCGTAGAAAGTTCCCCTTTGCAGCTGTGGTCAACGCAGATCTAATTTGAAGCTCCAGAGTAGGGTCTGCGATCGTCAACTCCCCATGGTTCAGAAGTCGTGATGTTTCCGAGTCAATATAAGATGAGACATCGGGGTTGTCAGTCGGAATATCGATAGAGTGAAGGTTGGTCCATCCAATGCCAGTCAGGACTCCTGGTCTTGTTGAGAGACATATTGATAGAGAGCATTGGGTTTGAAGGCGTTGCAGTACCTCAATCACCTTGGCTCGCTCTGACTCTTGACACTTATCAAGGCCATCAAGGACTAAATATGTCATGCCGGCTGCTTCTAGAGCAATCCGTAAGTCGGATGCTACATCCACAGTATTATCCAGAATGGTGGACAAGACTCCGAGACCTTTTGACACGTGTGAGGCACGTGATGTGAGCAATAAGCGTTTTAGTACTTGGTGATATATGGCGCCAAGAATAACTAGAGCCTGTAGGGAATTAACTTCATCCTGTATGCAAAAGAAAAAGACAATTTGAGGGGTTTCAAGCTGTCTCCGATCCAAATCATCGACCATATTGGCAAGTATGACTGACTTTCCTGCTCCTGCATTGCCTGAGTAGAGCAGTGTAGAAGAGCTACTACAGTCAATGAAGCGTTCGTAGCTAGGCTCAAAGACAAACAGAGAAGTACTTCCAATCATTCTTATACTTTTCCATGTGGCCCCGTAGTCATGCTTTAGCTGTATTTCAAGTGTTTGAAGATACTCGACGTGCTTCTCCAAATCTAGCTCTCGTTTGGTGGAATTCGTTGGGTCTCTCGCATAGCTACCATTATACGTGGGGTCACTGTAGTGATGTTGTCGTTTGAGGATCGCCAGTCTCTGGTTGATTGAAATTGTGCATCTCTCGAGAGCCGACTTATAATGCTTCAGTGTAGAGTCCGCAGAGAAGGATATCGTTTCTGGATAGCCACGCCTTGGCTGTAAAAGGAACAAGTAGTGGCATATGCGGATGACCTTGGAGTAGTAATCATAAAGGCTCCATCGAAGTTCCTCGGGGTGTGAGTTAAGGAAACCTATTCTCACATCAAAAGGTGATGAGCCACAGGACCCCATAAATAATTCCAATATGGCTTCGAGCCAACAAGGTGTCAGAGCAAGTCTCTACATACATGATCAGATCCTTGTGTACATATCCGTGGAAGGGGCATACCGTAAACGTTAGGCGTACAAGCAGCCAGACACTGCCAGTTCGCCATGACAGAAATTTGTCAGGCGTATCATCTTGAAGTGAAGCGAACTCCTGTACAGCTTTCAAGAAATTGATCATGCGCGGTACATACCGCCGTACATTGCTTGCCTGATTCCGTGCTGCAACCTCATGGATTTCAACGATAGCTGTGATGACGTCAGTGTCCTTAGGAGACGAGAAATTCTCTTTCTGTGCTCTAAATGAACGTTTCTGTTCCTCGGAGAGATCTGAAGCAAATTCCGAGACAGCCTGGCCAAGTCCAATCGCTCGGCTCTGTGGATTGAGCCATGATGCGCTAGCCATAATCGCACCTCGGTCAATCGCAAAGTAATTATCCTTACTGAGGTTGTATCCAAAGTCAGGACTACAAAGTAAGCTATAGCGAGTTAAGTAAAAGGGGGAACGCTGGGTGAGCGATAAGAAGCGGGGCATGACCAGGGGTTTGAAAGTGAGGCTGACGGTACAGGAGGCACTTGTGAATGTGATTCGTCCAATAAGTACAAAAGCAAGTTGAGCCCCCCTAAATAATTGCTTTTTAGATTATCCTGAGGTTTTTCAATTTACAGTAATTTAACCAGGTCGTTCTTCCTCTATAAGTTGCCCCTCTAAATGGACATTTTTATTAAATTGAAATTAAGCTAGATAGAACACTACCTTATAAAAGTCCTATAATACTTCTAGTACTTATCGGCTTTTGAGCTGCAAGAACGTCAGTACTAGGAATTTGCCACAAGCATGGCACTACCATATTAAGGATCACTCACCTTGAACCTTAATTACATCATCACATTGCTTTTTAGCCCTGGAGACCATGAACATGACTCCTTATTGCATCAGCGGCACGATTGCAGCAGGCCCCCTAAAGAATGAAGATCGTCGAGGAAAAACATCTTGTCCGAGCTTGGCCAAGGTATAAATACGTGACATCAGCGATCCGAGAAACAACATTCACAGAATCTGTATGCACTCAGACAGGATGGCGATCGAGACCACTGATACGATGCCTGTCACAATAAATCCAACTTCTTGGCTTCAAAGCCTCCCCACCGAGGTTCTACAGTTCATTTGTGCCCATCTCTGCCGCCACTGTCAAGACAAAACTCTTATTCCTCACTTTGAGCTTCCGTTGACAGACCAAAGTGCCCCGGATCGTGATACTACTTCGGCCAATGCTGAAACTCTCAAAGACCTGTGTGCCCTCAGCCGCGTGTCGCGTCGGCTCCGGGACGTCGCTCAACCTATTCTGTATCATGAGTTCCCTAGTCTTGAGCTTCGTGAGAGACGCCTAGAGCCCTTTCTTCAAACCGTCATAGCCAGACCGGACTTGGCTAAGGTTGTGAAGACCTTGGCTTTCAACTCCAGCCTCGCGAACTATTTGGACATCAACCTGGCTCGAGGTCTCTATCAACAGGGCCTCAAAGTTCTGGGAACCGATGTGAACAAAGTCTGGCGTTCAAGATGCGAAAATAATCTCCAACTCAGGCTACACAAAGCCTTGCACGCTTTTCTGTTTGGAGGCGATGAAAACACTCCTGATCAAGCGTGCCAGTTGATGTTTGCCAGCGCTGAGATTTTGGTTCTACTCCTTTGTTTATTGCCTAATCTGACCACGCTGATGGTCGACGGACTCTCTATTGTCATGTTTGTCCCGCCATCCGCTTTCGAAGTATTTGGTATCAGCAGTATCAAAATCAGACGCTTGTACGCAACTCGTCTGCCCCGTCCCATTGTGGACGTGGCCCCCGATCTGGATGAGTTGGCAATTGGACCTCGTGGTAGAGTGCGACAAGAGTCCAGGCCCGGGTCGATATCCTACTGGCGATCAGACCAAGAGCTCAATCAACATATCCGATCCCCTCAAAGCGAGGATATTCAGGATGTAGAGCAAATGATCACCTCTTGTAAACAACCTTTGCGGTCCTTTCGATATGACCTGCGAGAGGTCAAACGTCACATAGCGGTACCATTCCCCTCAATCTCTTTTCTCCACGACTTCCGCACGACTCTCGAATCTCTGCGCTTGGACTTTCGAGTGCGTTCTGTCTACAGGAACAAAATACGATCTTTGAAGAAATTTATCAATCTAAAGGATCTCTTTATAACCACGAATCTAATCTATTATAGCACTCGCAACAGATCATTAGGTCCTGAGTCTCCAGGGTCCCTTACCTGCCTCTTGCCCAACAATATCGAGAAGTTGACGCTAGTCAACTACTCCGCATATCGGGCTGCTAATGATGACCTACACGTGGCGCTCACCACTTTAGCAGTTAGTATGAGACAGGGATATTTTCCTCGACTGGCATTAGTGGAAGTCTTGCGTAACAGGGCTGAGAAGCAGTTGATTAGAAAAATATATCGTGGCCAAAGCAACAGGATACATATAGAGGGAGGTACCTGGAAATGTGCACTTCCCATATAATCAAGTAGTAGACCTTTCTTTCTTAAACTGAAATTCTGGACTGTTCAAAGGCTGGAAATTCTCTCACATTGTAATATGATACTTTCCCGGGTTATTGTATAAAGCTATGTAGTTAACTGCCGCCTACAAGGTTAGGCTTTAGGCTGCGAGCATAAGTGTACACATGCAATCTTTAACTCGAGCTGTCAACTGGCTCTACATGCACATCATTAATTGTACGTGGCTCTGGTCACTTTTTGGTACATGGGCGTCTACTTCAAGAGAAATGGATATGTAGAAGCCTGTCTGCTCGTTTCCATTAGACTGTACACAACTATCACAGCCCAGGGCTTGTTCCATATGCCTTCCTAGTGAGTCACAAGAACAATAGAGCATGTAATATTGTGTATCTCTCTCGCATGAAAGTTAGCTGAAGGGGGCCATGAGCTACCAGAGGTTCTAGGTGTCGGAAGGAACAGGAATTCTGGAATCCGAGATACCATGACCGTCAAAGGCTCGACCTGTGCTAGAGTAGCGCAGACAGCTGGAGCGTATAGGAGAGGTTGCCGCGCGTCGCCTTGGGCTTCCTATAACGTCGTTTCAATCCAGAATTATCAAGACATACATATAAAGGTGAAGCGATGGGACCTGGCTACTTAATGTTTTCCCAAATTGCGTTGTTCCTGTAATGTTCAGAGGATACGGCTAAGTCCCAGCTATTGGCGGCTACAGGCAATTGAGCTCCGAGCGGAGAGTAATATGTCCTGGCTTCTCTCAACATTTGTAAAAGTTCAGTTGCCTAGGGACAAAGTGTTGTTAGTAAAGCTGTGGCAATTGACTGGGAAGTCGTTCATACATTTAATAGGATATGGTGAGCCTCATGTCCTGAGAGTAAACAGAAGACAACCAATTCGTCAAAACCTAGCTAATTTGCCTCGCCCTCAAGCTTTTCACTGTTTTCCTTGACAATCATATCGTAGAGTTCCATTACTTGAATAGCATCAAGCTTATCCCCTGTTTTGCGAGCCTCAACTGCACGTTGGACAACGCCAAGACAACTGTCTTGCTTCATGGCCCAGTTGGCCCCCTCCAGCTTCGAGCCAAATTCTCCTGTAGCAATGTATCTCCAGCTTCGGCAAGCATTGAGAACGCTATTTGTCGAACTCGCCTCATTTGCTTGGTGCCATGCAAGAGAATCTGATATCCCTTCCAGAACCCACCGCCGAGGAATCGCCCCAAAGGCCTCGGTGAGGTCAGCACCATACAAGCAGCGACCAAGTTGGCGTCCCATAGCAATATCGAGCAGGAACCAGTGGCTTGATTCGTGGGCGGGATCCAGGCTGATATGATCGGATTGGTGAGGCCCTGTGTTCAGATTGAGTTCGAAGGCGGGATGGCGGTTCGCGGGATTCACAGAGCCTTGGGCATACACGACAAACTCGAGCTTCGTAGCCGGGCAAGGCAAGTTTTTCTGGGTCAGACGAGAGATGATCGCTTCCTTTTCACTGGTTTCTAGGGAACTTTTGACGATTGCCTGCACGTCGAGGTCGCTCAGGCCGGGCTGATAGGCGTCATAGCTAGCTGAGCCGAAAAGGTATACACCGACCAATTGTTCTTTGAGATAGTCGGTGAGACGCTTGACCAGTTCGCTAAGGTATTCTTTCACGTGTTCCGGTAGGTTGCTATCCATTATGACTCCAACGCTCGTTAGCATGGTTAGGTTTACATGTCAGTTAAAGCGTACATACACTGTTTGGTGACACTGTTTGGTGGAGAACGGGCATAGTATGGATGCGTTAAAAGTTAGTGAACAAGTAACAGGGCTGTTTATTTACGCCAATATATGGCGAAAGAAATATTGTGCTACTGTAAACCTCTCTTGATAGGTCACAGAGTCAGAAGCAGAGAAGTGGACCGCGTCACACCAGTGCGGGGATGGAGAATATAAGCCTCAGGCAAACAAAGTATGAGTATCATGAGCCACAAGCTCCATAGCTAAGGTACCTATGTATAAAAGAAAATCGAAACGTATTTAATGCAACTAGGAGAAGAAAACGAATTCTGAGTTTTATATCATGCCTAGTGTTCTCCAATCCCCGGCTAAAGCTTAGATTCTTGAGTATCACCGAAACCCCACGGAGGAGTCCCCACGCCACTCTAGACATAGTCCGAGTAATGAGACAAGTCATCACAGAGTAATGAGACACTTGTGAGACTTTGGGGCGATCAATGTGTAGTTTTCCAACTCCATGTCGTCATTGGTCATTGATGCATGAACCTGGGCTCCTCGAAACTTGCGAAAGAAAGCTGCTGTAGTGACCCGAAGCTCCATATAAGCGAGGTGAATACCAATACAAACTATCCCATTTTAGAAACATAAAAAGCTGGATGTGAGCAGATAGGATCTTACTTCGAGGTCCTCCTCCAAACGGAATGTATGCCTCTTGCATCTCAGCTGTTGGACTAAGCCAGCGATCTGGGTCAAACCTTGACAACCATGTTAGCAATCTTCCTTTAGGCGTTCTTGAGTTTACCCCTCACTTATATGGGTTTGGAAACACTTCAGGTAGTCGGTGCAAGGAGAATGCTTGCGTGAAAACGGTCGCGGTATCTGGAATCATGTAGCCACAAGCTTCCCAGCCGCCCTTCGGAACGTCCCTCTGATGCGCTCCAGATGCAGCCCCATACAGTCTCAAGGACTCCCTTACTACCGCGTTCAAGTATGGCAGTTTCACAAGGTCAGCATCTCTGAAGTCTGCAGAGAGCACTGATACTTCGTCCTCCAGTCGTGCCCGTATCTCGGGACTCTGTAAAACCGACCAGACTAGATATGTCAGTGTGTTGGAGGTAGTATCTGTTCCTGTGATCATGAGTTCCGCTGCCTCTTGCTGCATCTCGAGATCTGTTAAGGAATTCTCTTTGTTCTTCGGATTCATGATCTTCTCAAAGAATATCGGGGTGTCAAGCGAGCCTGTCAGCTGAGCTAGCTGTAGACGGCGGATAGATTCTTCGCCGTATTTGAGAATTCGCTGAAACCTCTCTGAGAATCTCTTAACCTGAGGCAGTGGAAGCAAGAACATCAAGTCGAAGAATGGAGAGAGCTCGATCCTTTTGTTGACTGTGGGCATCACAGCCTGTAAATCCTCGACGTACTGGCTTCTCTAAAGGTGAAGGGTCAGTAACGGTGGCATCTGAGGGGCTGTGTACATACTCTGCCTTGCTCAAGCATTCGAAATGAACTACCGAAAGTTAAATCACCAATAATATCAGTCGCCATGAAGCTGAACCACTTATGGCAGTCAGCGTATCCCAAACCTCGATACTCCTTCTCCATCAGAATCATCGCCAAGTCTACTTTGGCACGTATCAAGGGCTCAAAAGCGGGCAGAGACGAGTTGCTCAAGGGGTGCGCAAGTAAGCGACGGCGGCGAGCGTGCTTTTCGCGATCTCTCATTCCCAGCATACCGGGACCAGTCTTGTCATACCAAGATGACTTTTGAAAGCCACCAGATGCCTTTTGTATGACTTTGACGGCATCGGGGTCGTTAATGCCAACGTCCGTTGGGCTGATACGGACAACAGGGCCTCGATGCATGTCATGTTAGCCCTCGGCACAGTTATGATTGGTGAAGGCCTTCCTCACCATATTGGGTAAATAGAGAATCTATGTACTGTATGCGCTGGCCAGAAAGTGTGTGATATTTGACGACGAGGTTCGTCCACCGTCCTATAGCAGGCCCAGGTATCTTGGACAGGGGACCGTACAAAGCAGTCTTCACTTTTGCGACAGCCTGATAAGAGCCAGAATTATAAACCAAACTCAAAGAGCAAGAGAATTTTCCAAGTAGACTTACATAATACAGTATCAAAGTTGTACACGCAACAAGGCAAAAGGTCGCAAATGACTGAGACAACATTATGCCTGTCAAGTGTTATACGGTGTTAGAGAAGCAATAGTTGTAATGATAGATATGGGAGACACTTTCAAGTTCTCGCGACAGAAAGCTTACTCAATACCATTCGACCTTTTGGCCTTTAAAACCTCTATATTGTTCTTTCCTATTCCCCGCACAGGGTTGGGAAGCATTACGCCCACTCGGATCTGCTACTCCGACTACATAAGGATTCGGCTTCTTGTGGGGTAATGGCCGGGCTTGACTCTTATATGGTCGTGACATTATGGATTATAAAAGCCGTCGGTCTTTAGAGATCGGGGTTTTCGCGAGGAGTACCGAGGTTTTGACTGCCACGAGGTAATCGAGAGCGGTTGAACAGAATACGTTTACATATACAGTTATGGTATTAGGTAAAGTTTAAGCCTCTCAGGATCTTAACAACATAGCTGATTATTGATCACACGATAATCCTTGAGATTTGGACCATGGGGCATAGTTTATACATCCACTGAATCAGATACTCGACTGTCTATGGATTGTCTATCTCGGAGCATCGATAACAGGAAGTGTAATCCAGCTAGCCTCGCCACCGACAGTAATAATGTTCTTTCCATCGAAAGTCTTAGCATCCCGATCATCCGGGTGTTCATGGGAGAACTTTCCTACACCCTGAGTGTCGTGACCAGCAATCTCCAGCACCAATGTTTCTTCAGGTTCAAAGACCACATTTGTAGGCCAGACCTCAACATCCACTGCATACCTCTGATTCTCCTCAACTGGCTGCACGTCAGATGAGTAGTAATTACGGTAAGGCAAATATGCCTTGTGTAATCTGTTAGTCTCATCTACTTGACGAAGGGAAACTCGCTGCCAGCCCTTTACTATGGGTACAGGGTCGCCCATTGTGCCGGTGTAGAAGACCTCTTCACCTTTGGCGTTGATCTTGCGGAGGGTAATGAACAGATCAATGTCTGATGGGGTACTGGCGTCAGCGGACTTTCGGCTTGCAGCTACAGTTAAATGGGCGACGATGTGACCAGTGATCTCCAGAGTAGAAGCAGTCTTGTATGCAAATTTAATGGGCTCGCTGTGGATGTATTAGCGTCCTGGACTTCTTGATTTGCTCAGAGGATATGACTTACCCATTCAAAGCATCATATTCGATCGTGCTGATGCCATTTGAAGGCTTCGTTCTCAATGACTTGTCGGAAGTCAGGTAGAACTTCGTGTAGTTGGTCCCAGGCAACGGCCAATCTGCCTCATCTCTAGTCGGGAACCCTCTTTCACGTTCAGGGTCATCAACCCCAGCCTCACCCTTTCGCAACGTGAGACGAACCCGTGGCTGCTTCCCAGACTTCCAGCCATCTGCATCGTCGTCTTTCAGAAAGGAATTGAAGAAAGATAACTGAAGCTCAGCCGACTCGGGGTAATAAAAGGGCAAGTCATGTCTTCCAACGATGAAGTGGAGAAACTTGTACTTGGAGCTCGCACGGATCCAACCGAGGACATTTCCTCGAAGATGAAGTAGGATGCCTCCCTAAGTGTTATGTGAGAATGATAATAAAGTCTCCCAAGAATCATAGGACTTACCCAATTGGCGACACTGAGTAGTGGAACCTCGATTGCCTCGACATCAAAGTCTCGAGTACGGTAATACTCCTCGTCGCGAAACTTGTGCACAGCAGTGTCTACTGTCTGGTCTCGGCGGTTCTTGAGTAAGGCCTCCTCGTCAAGGTCACCAGCAAGAGTATCCTCGCCCCAGTTTCGGGCGCTGCGACCAGGCTTGCCGTACTGATTGGGGCTGACTCCGTTATTCCACCAGAAATCTAGATTGAAGCATCGTCAGCAATGCCAGGTAAGTGGAACTCCTGTCGGTAGCTTACCAATGAACCTGTCAGAAAGAATACCTCCATGCCTTACTCGATCCCGGTAGTAATCACTCATGCCCTCCCATGGGATGATAGCAGCTAGTCCCTTCGGTTTTCTTGCAGCGACTCTCCACTGCGTACCAGCATAGTAGCTGATCCCCAGAAGACCAACTTTACCTGATGACCACTCTTGTTCGGCAGCCCACTCGATGACATCAAAGAAGGCTTCACTTGTACCGCGAGACATAGTATCAAGAAGCCCAGGACTTTGGCCAGCTCCTCTCTCATCAACTCTCACCACGATGTAACCCTTGCTTGTCCAATAAGCGGGATCGGGCGTCTCCCAGGCTGCATGTGTGGACCTCATGTCAGGATTGAGCTGATCCCAGCTTTTCTTATAGAAGATCTCATATCGAACATCTTTTCCGTCTGATTTTCCATGTTAGCGTCGAGACAAGACGCACTGTATGTTTATTGCGTATTCACATACAAGGGCCATACGTAGCGATAACAGGGAATGTCTTGTCTCCCCAGGGAGCTGCGTCTTTAGGAAGAAAGACATTTGCTCGAAGCAGGCCCTTCTCATATGTCTTGAGTGGGATGTCCACATTCTTCATAAACACGTAAGGAAAGCTATCCTTGTCGATTGTCAGGTACTTGTTCTCAGCCATATTGACGGATGTTGAAATTAGATTGAAATTGATGACTGATGTTACCAGCCTCACTGAAAGGAATTCATTTGTTCGGTTACTTATTATTGAAGGCTTAATTAGATCTCTTCTTCCAATTGCTTTTGCCAATTGAGCACTCAATTGCGTGCTACCGAAGCTATCTCCGTAAATACCGATGACTGGACTGTGGCATGGGTAATGTGGTCCCGAACCGACGACTCTCCTGAACAAGCTTCAATGAAAGCGCGAAACCTAAACCATTATCCTTGCATTCTTAGAAGGACGTCGTCTGTTTGAGCTCGGAACTTTGGGGAAAGCTAAGCTCCGTTGGTGGAAATGATTAAGTGTTTACCAACGCACATCCCTTAGTAGATTTGAGATCAACGTCTTCAGTATTATCACAGCCAGCACCATCGTACCATGTCTACTACCCAAACAACCACCACGAACACTCGCGACAGCCATTTGCGGCTACAACCTGATTCTTCTGTTGAGGATGTGTTGCAAGAGTACAAGATCCATCACTCATCCCATCAACCAGACGAGCAGCAGACCAACGATGGCAATGTCGTGCTAGTCGCCGGCATCCCTCGAGAGGCCCAACCTCGCGATTTCGACTCTTCTCTGGCTCCCCATCCCACGGTTCCGTATCCAGTATCGAACCCAGGATGGTGGACCGACACGTTCAGACGCGTTCCGGACTATAGACCTATCAACCAGCATCTCGATCTCAATGAGAGACGTCAAATGCTCTTGTTTACGATCGTCGGTGGCATTATGGTTAGAGGATGCTGGCTCATGTCTGTAAGTGATAGATGCGTATACGACTGCTTGTTCACACTCACTGACTATTCTCTGTAGGTCTGGGCGCAAGTCTGGAGAAACACAGCGGGAAGGGTAACGGACATCGGTCTCTCAAAGGTCGGAGGAGAGTGGTAGACAGGCCAAGATTGCGGCTGAGGGAATTCGTGATGGCATATATGCATTCATTATCAATCCGCAAAGAACATTCTGCAGTCTATTAGAAAGGTTAGACATTCCCAAACAGTGCACGTGTGAGGCCCGTGATGTAAGCATCAGCTGTCTGGCCGATTAACCCAAGACTACGGATAATGTAGGGTTTCACTTTGGGCAATACTTTCAGCGTTGAGGTACGCTGGAATGGGTTCAACAAAATAATGTCATTGCCTAATGTTGAAGGATCTGTTCTCCGCGTCACAATGTCTATTACTATGGGGATGGCTGCCTAGCCGACGTAATGGTCTTATGTTTAGTGTTCTTCAGAGCTGTTTTTCTACGAGGAATAGTCCCAGTCGCCAAGTTGATACTGACTATTACACATATTGACAAGCTCCCAGCATTCACCTAGGAACCGATTCGGACCTTGATCTTCATGGCTACCGGCCGCGCCAGCAGCAAACAGAGTCGCCATGTAGTGGTCATCAGTTCCATGCGCCTCCTTGTACCGCGGATGCTTCATCAACCTGGTAACGGCTCTTCGCAAAGCAGGCCCCGTGTTCTGCGTAACAGCATCTTCCAGCGCCTGTCTGAACTCCAGAGCAAAGTCACCAGGTGGTACGGGCTGCGCAAAGTTGTCTCGATAGGTGAGCATCTGATACCAATGGTTTCGATACAAGTTGTGCACGGATCCACCACTGCCTATTATGAGCGTGTCCTCGTATCGTAACGGTCGTAGAGCGGCTCCGATCTTTGTGTGGAGGTGCGGGTCGTATCGTGCGTTCATCGACACGATGGTAGTGGGGAGAGGGATGCAATGGGGAAACATGCGGATGACGATCAGGAAGGTATCGTGAACCCATTCGAACTTGGGGTCGGCTTGAGCGTTGATTCCAGCTCCTTGCAACATACCGATGACGCGTTGTCCTCCTTCAAGATCTGCCACCATTTTGTATGGCATGTATCGAGCTTCTGTAACACTACCCACGGGGTCTTTCTTCGCGTCGGGATTCATGCTCACTCGTACTGTATCGTAAGGAGAGTCCCAGTGAGCGCCCTAACTCATATTAGCTTTTATCATCTTTTGGCCAGAATCTTTCTACAAACCATCATGACAATGCGCTTGACTCCACGCCGCAGGCATTCATTCCCAATACTCTCCCAAATTCGAGCTGGCTCCGACTCCTCTCCCAGCATCATGGTAGATCCATGAGCAAATAGAAATACCGGAGTCGGCTCTTAAGTCCTATTGTTAGATCATTGCAGCTTTTCTGGCCTTGAATAAGACTCACTCTTTTTCTGAGCTGGTATGCTACCCATGGTGGCTGTGAAGGTGCTTGCTGTGTTGATTGTGTAGATTGCGAATCAAGACGTCGTGGCCGCTTCGGACTAATCTAATGGAATCGAACTTTATTTCTTATTTGTCCGAATCCCCGACACTTCCGTATATTTGTTATGGCATGGAAGACCTGCAGAGAAACGGTTCGGAATATGTTACCCTGCGTACTGCGGTACGACTCTTAGTGTTCAGTCCCGTGTGGAGCCGAGCCGAAGCCCCGTATCAGAACGGAAGTCTCGGTCATGATTCTACCGAAACACATCGACGTCGCGTAGACTGAATGTGTTTATTTTTATGTTTGAATGTACTTGAAGAGCTGCCAATTGAGCTGTCAAGAGCTTTATCAACAGGAATCAGACGAGCGTTGTAACAATGGCCTCAGCATCAGATCAATATCGCACCGTCAGTGCAGCATGGGCGGAGGGTCGACTCGAGAATGTGCTACAGCGACAGAAAGAGCTTGCTTTGCTACATGCCAACATCAAAAGCTCCTCTACGAATCTGATCAAGGCCATATGCGATGGTGAGCGCTTCTAATACATACGTTGCGGGTAGCTTGGTGGACTAACAAATTTGCTACAGATCTTCAAACCTCGAAAGCGAGCGCAGCTGACGAACTCCAATTGGCCCTCGATTCGATCAAACGTCTCTACGACGACCTAGACTTTCCGAGTACACTGGCCAAGGAGAAGCAGGTCAAGAAGGGGGCCAGCTCGTCCAGCAACTTGATACCTTTGGGTCCCGTTCTTATTGATCCCTCTCCCTATTCGCCATTTCTCAGCGTAATTGCGCCGCTTGCTGCTGCTGTCGCGGCTGGAAGTACCGCTATTGTATTAGCTACCTCGGCGTTCGACAACCTCGATACCGAGCTTCGCACCTTGGTCAACAAGAGTTTGGACGTCGAAGCTTTTGCTATAACAGAGAGTGGCTCAGCCGATATCCGTCGAGAGCTCAGCAAACAGCACTTTGGCGCTGCTGCTCTCCAGGACTTGTCCCTACGTGACGACCTGTTCAAGTCTCTTTATAAGACAAATCCATTGATCAGAGTTCTTTCACCGCCCTCAGGAATCCCAGCTGCATTTGTTGATCGCTCTGTTCAAGATCTGGAAGCTGTTGCGAGTCACCTCCTTGGCTCAGGCTACCGAACACCTCGCCATAATTCTTTGCGAACGCCACGTCTTGTTTTTGTCGACGAAATATACATTTTACAGCTTCACAAGCTCATACGTGCAGGCGCTGGTGCGGATGCATCACTGTCCTTTAACAACGACGGAGACGAAGCTCAGGCTCTCAATAAGTTTCTTACATCCAAATTTCCGAACTCGAAACGGAACTTGCCCAAACATGTATCCGGTCATCTGCCTGCTGTCATCGTATTAGACAATTCCGAGTATGCTTTTCCTTGAAATTCTACGTATTGTATATGACTAACTCTTTATCAGTGCCATTGTAGCCGAACACGTCCAAAGGGCTGCGGAATTGCTTGCACACAGCGACAACGGTCTTCTACTGGTTCCAGTACGAAGTTTGGACCACGGCATCGATATTTTCGGCAAGATGTATGTCTTGAAGTGATCGAGAGTGCCTGCGATTATGAACTAACACATCGATACCAGTAACGGAAACAACCCCTCCCAGGCAACGTATATTTTTGCATCCTCTGAGGCTTCTTCCTATGTCGCCATGTTCACAAACTCACTTCAGGTGTTCATTAATACCATACCTCAATGGTCACTATGTAAGATCAGAGATGAACTTGATGCCCCTGATATCTGACTTGTATAGCCACTGTTGCACCCTCGACTCCTTTCCTCGAGAGTCGCCTGCTGTACCGCAGAGAAGACTTTTCTGTCAATAAACCAATCTTGCAGGAGTCGGTCCACCCTGTTGATTCCTTCAGTGCAGAAAAACAGTCTGCTTGGTCACTCGTGTCTCATCACTTGCAACTGGGTAAGATCAAGCAGCAAAAGGGCGGAAGACTTAGCTATTTCGAGCGGGGTTTGTTGGTTGGACTGGCTTTATCGTTAATTGCTGTTTCGGGTACGGGAATTGGCATTTATCGAGGTATTCTACATTTTGCCAAGAGGCCTTGATCAGGGAGGGGAGGTTGGCTGCTTAATATCGTTTCACCAAACTTGACTGGAGCATGTTTTGATGCCATACAAATTTCGGGCTACTAAACAGCAGACTCTTGACGATGCAACAAAGAAACAGAAAAATGGATGTCTGGATTATTTAATTAGTCCTCTACATAATTAATCAGTCCTTTCGTGCTATCAGGGTTCCGTGAGTGTGTGAAGGGAAGAATAAACCAGGCTGCTCTAGGGTGAGCCTCCCGTCCCACTCCTCAAATCCATTGCGAGATCATCCAGCCCGAAACATTTCTCCGCTGGCGGAAACTTTCCGCCACGGAATTAGCACAACTTCAACAGCCCCACACAACTGTACCACAAGAAAGCTGAATGATTCAGTTTCAAAGACTCCATATTATGCCTATTTGATGCGTTTGCATCCATGAAAAAGCCTCAAGCTACTTTTAGCCCCGAGTCCCATAAACGCGCATTGTTGCGTCTGCATCATCTCTTCAAGTGTTTCCCGGTGTACTCCGTATGAGTCCAAGAGCTCCACAAGGCGACGTTACAGCATGCACCCTGCTAATGGGCTGAGCTCGTGGGGCCGCGTGGGCGAGCCGGCCACCAGAGTTTGCTTGATGTTACGACGCGCCGGGATCACAGCGCTACGCTTTTATCCCGAGAATGATCGTGATTCGGCCTCTTATACTACTTGTTTACCGGGCCCCTTGCAAGGAAGACCAGCAAGCGCTATTCACAGAACCTCAGTTTCAGCACCATGGGTCTCAACGCTGGCAGTTCTCTGAGAAGGGTCGTTACCCACCACAAGGGCGAGAACTCTGCAATCCTATCAGATGAAGAGCTCAAACTCGTCTCTGGTTTTGGAAGCAACGCGGTCACCATCTGGAGAAACGACAAGTACCCCGCCGAGCTGGCAGACAAAGATCCTGTTGGCACTGATCCAGTAATTTATACGCCTGGCTCACTGATTCGAGTCGTCGACTTTCCGCCCAATTCCTCAGGACATAATCACAGAACTGCATCGCTCGACTATGGAATTGTGTTTGAGGGTGAGCTAGAGATGGTGTTGGCAGATGGTTCCAAGACCATTGTTCGCGCAGGCGATATCATTGTGCAACAGGCGGTAGGTGATGTACCTCCGACATTATTTGACATGATACTGACGTATTGAATCTTCAAGACGTTGCACCAGTGGAACAATTTGACGGATAAGCCAGCGCGTCTCATCTTTGTGTTGCTCCCATCCGAGAAGACTGTCAATGGCGTCAACGTATCAGAGACTGGTGTGCCTGAGAAATATCTCCCGAAAATATCATAGAAACTTAGAACATGTATGTATCTAGGGCTTTTCAGTTACCATAGATATAGCCTATCTTATAGGAGATCTTAGAGAATTAAGAACATTCACAATTACATCAATAGTAGCTTTAAGGTAGCCTTCCAATTGCTACTCAACTCAACATCAAGCCATGTTTCTTTATCTACATTATTGACTGTTCTATTGCATACTCAGTCCGGGGTTATTTTTCATTTAATCGGTTGAATTCTCTGCAATTCTTGCAGTTTGCAGGGAACGTCAAGCCTCATGGCTTTATAAATCTGACATTTTCAAGCTAACAGTACGACATATATCTATAGACTACTGAGGGTTCTTTTCAATGACACGAGTAACAAGGTCACTAGTGAACTCTTCATTAGTATTTTTCTGCTTGAAGCTCAAGTTTAGTTACAACTTACGTGTCCATGTATGCCCTCACAGTTGCGATCTTGCCGCTATCATTGAAGCCCAGCACCCAGGTATATTCATTGGGAAAAGGATCGCCACTCTTAGTCTCGGTATTAACGGCTTTGAGCTCCACTGCAGCTTGATTGCCCTCGATGATGATGTTCTGAACGACAAGATGGAGGGGACCTGCCCAGGTAGATGACAAAGCCCTTGTTCCCTGTTGGAACTCCTCAATGGACCTGTAGCGGCCAGAAACCTTGCAGTGGGTACCTGAAGTACTGTGTGTTAGAATTGAACAGAAAATATGACATTGGGAGTGGACTGTACCCTTTACGGTCCAGTCGACATTGGGCTCGACGTGGGGCCAGAAGCTGGCCATATCGCCTTTGCTAGGGCCTGCGAATATATTTCGGACGTGCTCGTGGGAAACCATCTTGTCAGTTTTAGTAGCGGTCAACCGAAGATTGAGTGTAAAATAGAATGGGATGTGTTTGTTCTGCCAGACAGACAACCGTTTCTACAGTATCCTGATTTTTAAACATGTTTCCAATGTGGGGTTGGCGATACAGCCCCCAGCGTTACAATGGAATTATGCCCTTAATTCCGCTTTTTCGGTCACGCGACTCGCCTTTCCAAGAGTTGTCATGGCCGTGTGGAGAGGACTCAAGAACACAGAGTGAGTCCGGGTTCCCCGCGTTGTGGCGTCCAACGTGGGGAAGTTCCCATCCGTGGAGCCGAGATGGAACTGCGAGATGTTTGGTCCATGGGATGAGTCTCGGAGGCTCATTTCCGAGCCAACTAGGACAAACAAGGGAACTGGCGCAGATGGTAATGGATGATGGCTTGGGAAATGATGCTGACAACTGTGATGGGTGTCTAGAGGAGGGAAAGGAGTCGGCTACGGTCTAAGCGTCAGCAGGTTTAGTCTTAGAACGTTTTCAGCTTATAACGATGGTCTCCCAGTTTGCCCCAAAGGGGATAATTTGGTCTGTGAACAAAGTCGAAATCTCTAGTCACTGTGAATATGCCTCTCAAAGTTATAATTGCTGGTGCAGGCTTGGGCGGCCTGGGTGCCGCTATCGCCATGGCCCGCGCTGGCCATAATGTAGAGGTACGATTCTATAGCCTGTGTTGTCATGGCCAATTGGAAGCTGACATGATT